CATGATAAATCATTAGTAACACTAATTAAGGAAACCCATCTTTAAGTGAGGTTTTATAGCACAGTCTGTTGAAACCATTACAAGACGTCCTTTGCATGATTACGTTAAACGAATTGTGGTCATAGGTTCTTATCTCAGTTGTTGCATAAAAGTCTAATGACCCTAAATAAGTCATCTTTATTCATTATTTCATTCGACCCAATAAATGGGTACCGATAATCTGGCAGTGATTAGTTCCAAGAGGTTTGGCCAAGAACCAGCTGGTAAAAAGGATCCTTGTCAACCAAAGTCCTTGTATAAAATTTTTGGTTGGAATCCAGCATCTTCTAGGTTTAAGTACAAAATTACTTACATGACTTAAAGAACACCATAAAAGTCCTCGACTAAATAAATCTATTATCACATCAAACTAAAATTAGAAAAATATTGAAATTGAAAGGAAAGGACAAATATGCTGACAAATGATTATAATGACTTTGTTTTATATGTATATGTTTCATATATATTGAGTGAGGTCAGAATTCTGTGTAAGTGTTAGATTAGTGCAAAAGTGTAGCACTAGTGTAACCATAACCCTAACATTTGACCTGATGCAAAGTGTTGGGTAACACTATGTATTTTGCAGACGGCATTGTCAGAATCCAAGTCAGTAATAAAAGAAACACTCCATGTATTTGAAAGCTGAGTTGTATAATCATAATCCCCTAATACAGATACATCTGTGTGTTTTGGAATAGGGCCTAACTTTTTTTTTAAAGAAAGAATTTAGGCCTATACCTACCCATGCTCCAAATTTTGAAGTCTGGTGAAATTTTCTAGCTGTATATCCATCTATACCTGAATTAAACATTATAAAATCACTTTGTTGTCACTAAAATCACTAAATTGGAAAACCTTATCTGGAAAATTCAATATGGATGATTGGATTCTCCAGTCCATGCGGTATCTGCTATAAAATTCATCAACAAAGACAACAGGTTCTGTTCTGCCCTATGTAGCCTGATAAATCTGGCATTACCAAGTTCCTCAGACATAGCACAATAAATTGCCACAGGTAGGGCTATAATCTAATGTCACTTTTTATGGAAGTTGAAAACGGTTAGCTCTTATAAAAAAAATGGCAGAAACAGAAAAAAAGAAAAGAAAGTATTACTTACAATCTAATGAGGCAGAAATAATATAAAATACTATAAAATATACTGGTGTATTTGATAAAAATAAAAAGGCAAACAAAACTAATAAAATCCGAACATATCCTGAAATGGAAAGCAAATAAATTATATCATGTCATTATTCCTTTGGATATAAAAGAAAGGGGGGGGGGGGGGGGGGAGAGTAATTTTAGTGGTCATTTTGATATGGGTCCATTTTGACTTTTGGGGCCATTCCAGTGCCAAGTTGGCTATAACCATTCAAATTCCTTCCAAAAATTCTGTGATTCCACCAAAACCTGCTATAACGTATTCATTCCACAAGCAGAATATATTTTTGATCAAAGATGTTTTAACACAATGTAGGGCCTACAGTTAATGCTCCATTGTTTGAACATCAATCTAATTTGGTTTGAAATACCAGGAAAATTATGTTATTGATATTAGTTTATATAAAATACATACCTAACATTAGGAATATAATATAATATTTCTGTACCCATTTCTTATTATTTCAAGAAATCACTGAAAAATGGCATCTACATCTACCTGGAAGAGTAATAAATTTTAAAAAATATTCATAAAATGATATTGAAAATTATCATATATTGCTGGCTCTTCAGACTCATTTAATGAGTTAAATACTCCTGAATAATAATCCTAACTATAGACCTACTGTCACTTATATTACAGAGGGTATACTACCTATAAAAATGTCCAAAAATGAAGCCAATAACAGTCTTTTTTCATCTGTGGACTTACCTGGTGTCAAAACTATACAACCAATAATAAATCCATAAAACTAAGTAATAATTCTTTAAACCAAGTAATTTTGAAACATGCTTAGAAGCATTCATTTAGAAGTTTCAATAATTATTTAGTTAAATGGATATCATCTTATATAGAGATTCTATTCTTTAGTCATGGCACCTTTTAAGGTTAACTGATGAATATATACACTTGTTAACCAAGTTTGAGACTTTTATGTCCATTCTAAGAGGTAGAATACCTTTAAGAAGTTGAATAAATCAGATTCTAAAGACAAAATCTTATAGATCTAATATAGGCCTAATCTCTATGCAAGACATACTGCAGAGGTAGCCTAGGCCTAAATACATTGTGAATTAAAACATTTTACCTGAATTATGTGGTCAGGCCACTTGAAACAAAAGGTTGAATCAAGTTTGGTGATGACCACTGTCAATCAAACAACAATTGTTTACAATCAATAATTGCTATGGGGCTATTACATTTGGCCCAAACAAGTCTCCTTGTAAAGTTGTAGTTGTAGTAGGCCTGCACTGTAGACATAGTATTTCGTAACAAAATTACATAACTTACAAATTAGCTTTTCACACCTAAATTTTTAATCTATGGTCATTAATGTACATACTAACATAAGTTGGGAACTCGCATCTCAGTTGAGCCGTTTATGTCAGTGGTGAAAGGTCTTGTAAAGCAAAAAATGACCATTTGACCATTTTCTCATTTTCTTGTTTACAAATAGGGACCTTTGAACTCTGAACTTTTGAACTTCCGGAAGGTCAAGGATGTGTTTGCCAACATGGCCACTGGAGACACGGATGTGAAGATGTCAAAAATGAAAATGACCATATTTCTAGTTTCTGTGACTTTATTTTTACCATTTTGTCTATGTGAAGGTAATTTGGTAAGCACTCCAACGATTGACACTTCATTTTATTATCATTATAATGATTTAACAACTTTTTTGAATAGAATGACTTCGAAGTTTCCAACTTTGACAAAATTGCACAGCATTGGCTCAAGTGTTGAAAATAGAACACTATGGGCCATTCAAATAACCAGCAATATTGACAAAACCATTCCTGGAAAACCTATGGTTAAATTCGTTGGAAATATGCATGGTAATGAAGTGATAAGTAAACAAATTCTAATTTATTTGATTGAATACTTACTGGAAAATTATGGAAAAAATGATCAAGTTACAAAAATAGTTGATTCAACAAACCTGTTCATTATGCCTACAATGAATCCAGACGGATTCGAAAGAGCAGAAGTTGGGGACTGTCTTGGATTGATGGGACGACCAAATGCGAATTTAGTTGATTTGAATAGAAATTTTCCAGACCAGTTTACAGGACAGCCTGATAAAATCCAACCAGAAACTCAAGCTATTATAGATTGGATTGAAAATAATCCATTTGTGCTATCAATAAATCTCCATGGAGGCAGTGTAGTTGCTAGTTATCCATTCGACGATTCCAAAAATCATACAGATGGATTTTACAGCGGAACACCAGATGATAAAGTGTTCAAATTATTGGCTACAACATATTCATCAAATCATCTCACAATGTCCAAAGGTCATCAATGTGAAGGAGATGATTTTAAAGAAGGAATTACTAATGGTGCTGAATGGTATGATGTACCAGGTAATGTACTTTAATAAGTATTCTTGTCTTTGAATCACTAATTTATTCCAGGCAAAGAGACTTTTCTGTCTTCCTTGTCATAAGAGGTTGTGATAATATTGTATAATCAGAGTTTAGGTTCAGTACTTTTCTGCTCCTTATTTGTGTAATGACGGCAGGCAATATGCTGTGTGCAATGAGGGAATTTTTTGGCAGAAATGAGGATAAAGCCTTATTAAATAAGCTGAGTTTTTGTTTATCACCTTCAGGAAAACTTGGAAATGTTCAGTCATAAGTATCAATAAGCTTACTTAGTATATTTGACTCAATATTTTCTTAATAATTAGAAAGAAACATTCTGAAATATAAAATTATTATGATGAACTTGTCTATTGGCTTTCATGTTACTTATACATCATTTATTCTTTCTTCAATAGACTTTTATTAAATTAAGTTTAACTTTATATTATTACTTACAACTTATGAGGTAGGCCTAAACCTATCATTGTGCAGAGCTCTCTAGTAGAAAAAACAGAGATAAATGTACAGTTTCGTCTCTTTTGACTGATAAAATTTGACTTCCTGACCTTTTATGATAAGAAAAAAGTAAATATAGAGATAAAAACATTTCATTTTGGCCACCTTATGTTTACCGAAAAGCTAGAAACTATTTCTTTAGGTTTAACTGTTAATTGTGTTGTTTTTGTTTACTTATAACCCAAATAATTAAAACTCATAAATATAAATGAGTTGAAATTTTAGACTTTAAAGGCTATTTGAAGGCTATAATTTCGACAGTGAGCTTTGAGCACCAACTGATTAGCTTAGCTAAAAAATTCCTGTTCTGAGATTAAAGTATGATTGGTTAAAAAAAATGGCCTACCTGTCCGTTTAATTGGTCAATCTATTTGAGCTTATTATTCAGAATTAGATCTATGTCATAAAATATACGGTAAGACAAATATACTGTATATAAGAAAGTTCTTAGCTGTGAATATTTTGAGAACTAAAGAAAACTTTTTACAATCAAATTCCCTTTTAATAAAAAAAACATCTGATTTTAAACATTTTTTACTCTCACAACTCTTCAAATTTAAAAAAAAAAACCTTTTTTTAACTGATGTTTCCATTGATAAATTCCAGTATTTTAAGTTAATGTTTGTTTTTATAGAATACAATGTATTATTGTCAGTAATATTATTGTTTGGCTAACTTCTGTTACCAGTACAGGATTTCAAATGGTATCAACTATAACAATTTACTTTTATTCAACAACTTTTCTTTTACCTTTAATATGATGAAATTTATTAATGTGGACACAATTGTTTATGTAAAACAAACTTTTCCTAGAACAGTTCTATAACAATCTACTGTAAATGATTTATTGTTCTCGAACTCATTTTAATTGAACTCTTCACGAAAGAGATAATTTTAGACGTTTTAATAACCCGCATGAAGGTAAATTCATCTGCTCACAGAAACTGTAGAAAGTGTCAAGGGGTCAAGACGCATGCGTAAGAAGTGTTCTCAGAAAGCTCGACTGTTTACACTACCATAATTTAACTGTTCCGTTCTGATAACTGTTCCAAGACCACCTTGCCTCGGTAGGAACTGTTCTCAGAACGCTTGACTGTTTACACTAGTAATTTTTCATCTGTTCCGTTCTCTGAACTGTTCTCAGAACGGATAATTTTTTTTTTTTTAATGATTTAGATCTTATTGTAAACTTCGTTCGAATTGTAATCCCTATAAAAAAGTTTGCTTTCATCATTTAATTTACCCACAATAAACTATAATACCGTGACCATGCAATGAATATTCATACTGTTATACCTATATGACACAAAATAACCGTGGAATATTGAGATTCATAATTATTTCATCTTCCATCTATAAGCTTAGAAATCAGAACAGAGTAAGCTAATGTTGCTGCTGTCTTCATTGTACACTACATGGCATGTGTTTGGATCTGGTCAAATTTTGAACTTCAATCTGTCATGGCAGGCTCATGCAGTCAAATCAAAATACCTTATTGAAAGTGTCTGTTTATTTTATGTTTTGTAGGTGGTATGGAAGATTATAATTATTTACACTCTAATTGTTTTGAGATAACAGTAGAATTATCTTGTTGTAAATACCCACCATCATCACAATTATCAACAGAATGGAACAACAATAAACAATCTTTATTAGCTTACTTAGAAATGGTGAGTATCTCAAATTTTAGGGATATTAATTGAAACCAGCATCCCATTGGACCAATGAAAAATTATGCTGGTTGCCAGTTTATTGGGCAATAGGCTCAGAAAGTCAAATACCTTGGTCATAATGTTGTCCACAGAAGCATATAAGTAAATGTCAATAGAGTAATGTTCAATCATTAAAACAATGGATATCAATTTTCTAATTGGATTAGTGAGTAATTGTTTACTTGGATGATTAGTCTAGTCACTTCTCATCCTTACCTTTAATGATGGGTTAGCAATAAATAATGGAGAGTTGCTGATTTAGAGAGGTTAACTAACTATGGTGTTGAATTGCAGTTTAGAGGGGTGCCGTAGAGGGTTTCCTACTATTGATTATGCAGTCATTTGGTCAGGTTTTTACAATTGAGTCGGTTTAGAGGGAATATTGGTTAATAGTTACAGTAGTGCTCAATACATCAATTGTAGAGCGATGTAGAAATATTAAAACGGAACCTGAAACATGGTGTTATCAGAGTTTCATGCTCTGCAATCTTCAGTCAATTCATCTATTTCAGTGAGCCTGCTCTTTTTTTTAGCATTTCAAGATATACATACAAAACTTTATAAATTTTTTTGCAATTCCTGAATATAATATAATTGTCAAACTGCACAAGGATGTCTATAGGTTTTCAATATTGATCAGAGATTAGGGTTGTACTGTATTCAATATATCTGTGATATGAATACAGTTATTACATGGATATGAATGAACCTGTATTGGTAGAGTTGTATTACACATTGTATGAAATAAAAGCTTACAATAATAAAATATTTTCAATAAAAGCTGATACTATTATGCATTTTGTGTATAAAAATGTGAAAATTTATTATATAGATGTTTAAACTGATAGGTTATTGAAATTGCGTAAGCTTAAATGTTAAGACTGACGCACACTTACCGATTTCTTGACGCCAAGAATATTTGTTTCCTAAGACTAAATCGCAAGTGATCGGCAGATATCTAGCATGTTCGATTGAAAGACGTTCTGGCGTATCTTGTTGAGAAGTGTGAGATGTTCCCGATAAATTGTTGTGAGTCTCAACTTGTGATCAAGGCACCTTGAATTTGAAAAATTGTACTGCGTTACGTCAAAAAACCAAATGTGCGCCAGCCATTAGGCATAATGATTTGTATCCTTAGAAAAAATGAATTGAAGCAATTAGCAAGAATGGTCATATATCATCATCTTCAGATTAAAATGATTTATTACACCAGCTTCAAGTGTCTAGTAAGACATGATGATAGTTATAAAGGTTTTGCTGGAGGCTCTTAGATAATACACACATTAAGACCAAGGTATCTAGTTAGTTTGTCATCAAAATATCATCAATCATTTCACTGATTGACAAATTATATTTTTTACTTCAATTTTAAAAATATAATTTGTTTTAAATTACAATTTTAACCTATATTTGTACTTAATTTTTTATTGATATTTTCTGTTTAATTGGCTACAGAAAAAAATCTTTTTAATTTTGTAGATGATGAAACTCAGCTTCATCTATTTATATTACTACTATTCACATTTAAACACATACAATTTGGCTGGAGACATGATAAAAGCCCTGATCCTTATGACACTTGGTATACGTGTATGAGATCTTGGCTAAGTTCAAATTTGGCAATAATTCGATGAAGGAATTTTCAGTTACTGCACTTTTGCTTGTAAAAATTTGTTGTCAATGGCAACACAAGCCTCCTGAGACTGGGGTACAAATAAGAAGGCAGACAGATTCAATGGGGGGGAGGGGGGGACGACTGTCGGAATTCAAATGGCCACAATTCTGTGGAAGCGTCTTGGCACAAGTTTCTAATGGAGAGTCTGAGAGAATTTTTTATAGAAAATTTTCAAATTAATTGAATTGATTTGGTGCATTCTAACACATAATTTAGGACAAAAACATATTAAAATCATATTTTTTAATTTGTCAAAAATAAGGTGGGGGTAAAATTGGGATTGCCAACCATTTACTTGTACCCCTACTGCTTTTTGTACCCCTACTGCTTTTTGTACCCCTACTGCTTTTTGTACCCCTACTGCTTTTTGTACCCCTACTGCTTTTTGTACCCCTACTGCTTTTTGTACCCCTACTGCTTTTTGTACCCCTACTGCTTTTTGTGCATGTATATATTGATCTTTGTCAACTTCAAATTTGGTAATTTTAAAATTTGTGATATATAGAAAGGACATAAATAGAAAAAGTGAGCAAAATTCTTAGTTTGAAGTGTTTTAAAAGAATTATGAAAAGACTATATACATATATTCAAGACTCAAATCAAACCCCCCAAAATGGCTCATCTATCCCTTTAACCGTGACTAAGTATAGCTTCATCAAATAAAACATGTCTTCAAACTTGAGTAATTATTATCCAATCTTGTGGTTACTTGATATGAAGTTCAAAATTTACAATATTTCTTATTTCTTAATCTGACAAATGTGAAATATCACAGCAGCTTGATTTTGATTATTTGATGTATGAAGATTATTGCTGTTGAAATGAAAATATCTAAATGGATAATGAGTCATGGATAAATTGATATAAATATACTGTATACATCAATGATTTTATTTATATAGTGTAAGCAAACTAATACAAACATGTAAAAATGTTTTCTGAATTTTGTATGTGTATCGAGGACACTGATAGCATCAATTTGCACTATTCTAATTTTGAGGTTCTTTCAATTCCCCTAAAACTAAGTATTTAATTACCTCACTAATCGATATACTTGTATCACTTGAGGCCTTTAGGGATTAGTGACCTCTTTACAATCCCTTTAATAATTTCCTTTATTCTGCCAAGAAATTTGGTGTCATCTTTTCATATTCTTTTATTATTATTTTTTTTTTTTACTTTGAATATGGGATTGCCAGAAATATGTGTTTAGATTTGATTTAGAAAAGGCAAATTCAGATAAGTGAAATGCTGTAGAACAGAAAATCATTTTGTTATGGTTTTCTAAATTTGTTATGTGTATCAAGGACACTGATAGCACTAATTAGCACCATGAATGAAAATTGACACATAACAAATTTAGAAAACCTCTTTACATTCCCTTTTAAAGATAGCAAGATTTGTATTCAATGTACTAAAGTATTGAAGCTTTTATATGTGTCAATGTACATTATACAGACTTCATTTGAAATTCTTTTGAATATAAATTTAAATGTAAAACTTTTGACTGCTCTTTACAATGACAAATTTAAAAGCAAATGATATTAACAAATGGTTTTCACTCTATTGAAATAGATTCTAAATAATGACAATAGAAACACACTGTAATAGGGTTCTGAGATATCCCAATCTATATTAGATAGTTATTCTGTTCCTTTTTTTTTTCTAATTATATATTGATCTCCATTGCAATTTTAAAGAGGTTGTAAAGAGGTTTTCTAAATTTTTTATGTGTATCAGGGACACTGATAGCATCAATTTGTGCCATTCCAATTTTCAATCAGATGTCTGTGGTTCCTCCAATTCCACTAAAACTAAGAGTTTCTATGACGTCACCCACGCAAAATTTGCTTGCATCACATAAGACCTTTACAGGTGTGACGTCATAGAAACACTTAGTTTTAGTAGAGTTGCTAGAAGCATAAACATCTGGTTGAACACTGAGGAAATGTGGGGTAGCGATAACCCATAGTAGAGAAGAATAGTCTCCTTGCCAAAGTGGAAGTTCAAGACACTATTTGTCCAACCTAAACTTGATGCCTGGTAGATCACTGACAAAAACGGATAGTTGAGATGATCTGTCATGTTTGGGAAAAACAGCCTAATCAAAAGCCCTGCCCCATACAGCTGACATCCCACAAACTTAAAAAAGTCAACCTAGTGTAGGCTTTTAACCCTCTACCCTAATTAGCAGGTAACTTCAATAGTCATATGTCAAATTATCATGTTATGGCTGGGCAATGTTGGTTCAAGTTGATATCATGATATTTAGCATTAATATATAACAATATCACGATATTTCTTTAGTATGGTTTTTACTGGTTTTTGAAACAAAATTATGATCTAGAAATTTAAAATGTAACATAAAACAATAGATATCTCTAAAAACCCTCCAGTTTTGAATATCCAAAAAATATCTGTTTCAAACAGTAAGTTACTTGATAGAATTGTGTACACTACCATATATCACGATATAGTGATATTTCTGTATTTTTTAATCAGGCGATATTTTTAACAACATAAATTCTTATACCGGTATTTATGGTGATATCAGTATATAACCCAGCCCTAAGTCATGTTGTCTTATAATTTGAACAGGTTCATATTGGTATCCATGGTTTTATAGTTGATAGTGATAATAATGGTATTGAGAATGCTATTATTGAAGTACAAGGTATAGATCATAATATCACAAGTAGTCAGTTTGGTGCTTATTGGAGATTATTAGTAAACGGTATCTATAATATAACAGTTCATGCATCTGGGTAGGTACATTTAGTATTTTATTATAGTACTTAAATTTTTAGTCATTTATGCCGTCTGATTTTAGGCTAGGCGCACCAATGAAATGGAATTAAGTGGAGTTATATGTCAAATTTTTCTGTTGAATGATGGCAAGAGCTTATAGTGTGCAATGTGGTAAATTTTGATAGGACAGCAGCATTCAAATTTCTCTTCTTGATTTGTTGAGATATAACTTGCATAGAATGAAAGGGCCTGCCTTTTTGTCCCATCCAAACTTTTTGTCCCATCCAAACTTTTTGTCACTTCCAAAACTCCCAAACTTTTTGTCTCTTCCAAACTTTTTGTCACTTCCAAACTTTTCGTCCCTTCCTACCTTTTTGTCTCTTCCAAACTTTTTAAAGACATAGTATTCCTTTAACATTTATTTATATTTGCCTATGATTTTTTATTTGAATTACTATGTTTTATAGGTATGAAAGTGTAACTAAATATGGTGTAGTTGTACCATCTGGACCAGGAATCAGTCTTAATTTTACTCTTCTTGAACCTGCACTAACTGTCCAAAATAGGTAAATATCTTTTCTAATAGATTGCTTATTCTTCTTCATTCTTTTGTATTATCAAGGGTAGATATATAAAGTTTGAATTTGTAGAGATAATATTTGAATAAAACAAAAACCGTGTTAACCTGGATCACTGGATTGATAATGTTCAAATCTAGCTATCTGTATCCCTTTTCAAAATGAAAACATCTGGTTCATCAACTATTACAAAACTACTGCCTGTATTGACTGGCCTTTCAACATTCACATTATCACTGCTGATTCCATAGAACCAGATGTTGGATTTTCAATCTGAAAAGTGACACAGATAGTGGAAATTTAGCTCCATCTGCCTGGCAACTGGCGTATACACTCTAGAAGGCACAATTCTAGACAGATTTGGACAAAACTTGGTATGAGTGTTTATCACCCAAGAATGAACCTATTGACAATCAGAAAAATTAAAAAATATTAAGTAAGGGTTATTGCCCTTGTTCTTGAAAATGTGTTCAATTTTAAGCTTGCAAACACTCTAGAAGGCACCATTTATGACAGATTTGGACAAAACTTGGTATGAGTATGTTTAATCACTCAAGGATAAACCCTATTGAAAATCAGAAAAATCGAAAAATATTTAGTACCGATATTTTCCATTTAGTAACTGATTGCAATATTTTGTAATTTAGATCAGAAGTTAATCCTACAGTTGTAACTAATCCTGAAGAATCATTAGAGAAACTAGTGCAGCACATCAATAATCTACATGACTTTGATCACCGTGAAAAAACATCCTTCATTGAACCACCACCAATGAAATACCACAAATATGATGATCTAGCTAATTTTATGGGTGATTTTGCCACACGGTATGCCCATATTGCCAAATTACATGTTATTGGTAAATCAGTATTGCGGAGGGATTTATTTGTCATGGAGATTAGTGATAATCCAGGTGTCAACGAACCAGGTAGGTCTTTTAGCTTTGAGTGTTATTAGCTGTGAGTTGTATTAGCTGTGAGTTATATTAGCTAGGAGTTCTATTAGCTGTGAGTTGTATTAGCTAGGAGTTCTATTAGCTGTGAGTTCTATTAGCTAGGAGTTCTATTAGCTGTGAGGACTATTAGCTGTGAGTTCTATTAGCTGTGAAGACTATTAGTTGTTAGTTCTATTAGCTGTGAGTTCTATTAGCTGTGAGGACTATTAGCTGTGAGTTGTATTAGCTGTGAGTTGTATTAGCTAGGAGTTCTATTAGCTGTGAGTTCTATTAGCTAGGAGTTCTATTAGCTGTGAGGACTATTAGCTGTGAGTTCTATTAGCTGTGAGGACTATTAGCTGTGAGGACTATTAGCTGTGAGTTCTATTAGCTGTGAGGACTATTAGTTGTTAGTTCTATTAGCTGTGAGCTCTATTAGCTGTGAGTTCTATTAGCTGTGAGTTCTATTAGCTAGGAGTTCTATTAGCTGTGAGGACTATTAGTTGTTAGTTCTATTAGCTGTGAGTTCTATTAGCTGTGAGGACTATTAGCTGTGAGTTCTATTAGCTGTGAGTTCTATTAGCTAGGAGTTCTATTAGCTAGGAGTTCTATTAGCTGTGAGTTCTATTAGCTAGGAGTTCTATTAGCTGTGAGTTCTATTAGCTGTGAGGACTATTAGTTGTTAGTTCTATTAGCTGTGAGGACTATTAGTTGTTAGTTCTATTAGCTGTGAGTTCTATTAGCTGTGAGTTCTATTAGCTAGGAGTTCTATTAGCTGTGAGGACTGTTAGTTGTTAGTTTTATTAGCTAGGAGTTCTATTAGCTGTGAGTTCTATTAGCTGTGAGTTATATTAGCTGTGAGTTCTATTAGCTGTGAGTTCTATTAGCTGTGAGTTCTATTAGCTAGGAGTTCTATTAGCTGTGAGGACTATTAGTTGTTAGTTCTATTAGCTGTGAGTTCTATTAGCTGTGAGGACTATTAGCTGTGAGTTCTATTAGCTGTGAGGACTATTAGTTGTTAGTTCTATTAGCTGTGAGTTCTATTAGCTGTGAGTTGTATTAGCTGTGAGTTGTATTAGCTAGGAGTTCTATTAGCTGTGAGTTCTATTAGCTGTGAGTTCTATTAGCTGTGAGGACTATTAGCTGTGAGTTCTATTAGCTGTGAGGACTATTAGCTGTGAGGACTATTAGCTGTGAGTTCTATTAGCTGTGAGGACTATTAGCTGGGAGTTCTATTAGCTGTGAGTTCTATTAGCTGTGAGTTCTATTAGCTGTGAGTTCTATTAGCTGTGAGTTCTATTAGCTGTGAGTTCTATTAGCTGGGAGTTCTATTAGCTGTGAGGACTATTAGCTGTGAGTTCTATTAGCTGTGAGTTCTATTAGCTGTGAGGACTATTAGCTGTGAGTTCTATTAGCTGTGAGGACTATTAGCTGTGAGTTCTATTAGCTGTGAGTTCTATTAGCTGTGAGTTCTATTAGCTGTGAGTTCTATTAGCTGTGAGTTCTATTAGCTAGGAGTTCTATTAGCTAGGAGTTCTATTAGCTGTGAGTTGTATTAGCTGTGAGTTCTATTAGCTGTGAGTTCTATTAGCTGTGAGTTCTATTAGCTGTGAGTTCTATTAGCTGTGAGGTCTATTAGCTGTGAGTTCTATTAGCTGTGAGTTCTATTAGCTGGAGTTCTATTAGCTGTGAGGACTATTAGTTGTTAGTTCTATTAGCTGTGAGTTCTATTAGCTGTGAGGACTATTAGCTGTGAGTTCTATTAGCTGTGAGGACTATTAGTTGTTAGTTCTATTAGCTGTGAATGCTATTAGCTGTGAGTTGTATTAGCTGTGAATTCTATTAGCTGTGAGTTCTATTAGCTGTGAGTTCTATTAGCTGTGAGGACTATTAGCTGTGAGTTCTATTAGCTGTGAGGACTATTAGTTGTTAGTTCTATTAGCTGTGAATGCTATTAGCTGTGAGTTGTATTAGCTGTGAATTCTATTAGCTCTGAATGCTATTAGCCGTGAGTTCTATTAGCTGTGAATGCTATTAGCTGTGAGTTCTTTTAGCTGTGAATGCTATTAGCTGTGAGTTCTATTAGCTGTGAATGCTATTAGCTGTGAGTGCTATTAGCTGTGGGTTCTGTTAGTTTTGTCTCCTATATTCTCTTGTGTGAGATGCGAGTTTTATTAGTTGTTAATCTAATCAGGTGTGAATCCTATTAGCTGTGTGTCATATTAGCTGCCAGATTAATATTAATTAATATTATATGCTCTGCACATGATTATCGACATAATGGAAAACGACCGACTGGAGATTTTTGTCTCTTCATATGCCTGCAACTGGTCGGTGAAACTCTTGACAAGACTCTAGTTGTGACCAAACAAGACTGTTTGTTCACATCTATACAATGCTGTACAATTTATGTTTATTTGATTGTAGGAGAACCGAAGTTTAAGTATATTGGTAATATGCATGGTAATGAAGTGGTAGGACGGGAAGTTTTAATATCATTGATACAGTTATTATGTGAAAACTATGGAAAAGATGAATTATTAACTTTATTAGTAAACCATACTTCTATATTTATAATGCCCACCATGAATCCTGATGGTTTTGAAATAGCCACTGAAGGTATGAAAACTTTGTTGTATTTTAATTGCAAAAATTATGATGGCTTGCTTGCTTTCCTGAAACACCTGATGTCACTTTGTGTTTGGTGTCACCTCTGCATCCCTTTCAGAGAGTTCACGCGACAATTAGTGTTTAGACTGCAGAAAACTATCCAAGTTGTCAATCTGAAATGTTTCATTATGCTGTAGGGTAGTGCCGCGCTAACACTCCTGAATGTCACATTGTAATATTGGTTAGTCCACGATGGCCAATAGTTCTTAGACCATAGAAAAATATTCCAAAAGTAAAAATGAAGTAAATATCCAATTTTCAATGATATGGCTATGCTATACTTGATGTCTGACAGAAGATATTGATCTTCAGGCATTTTAGCTGCCGGTCATGTCCATAAAATAGAGCCAAATCAACAACCCTGTTACAATTAAGGAATGGAAGAGTATTGGATTTTAAATTTACTACATTCATCACTGCAGAGGGTGTTGCTTGTTAGGCAGGGGATGTCATCTTTCTAACGCTATACAGAGAGATTTGTCAACCTTCAATCCCTCCCTGGGAGTCCACATAGCTAATAATGTTTAATTGGTATACTATGTTCATCTTCAACTTCCTTTGTAGGTGATTCAAGAGGAACTTACGGTCGTAGAAACCATGACCATATAGATTTAAATCGAAATTTCCCTGATCAGTTTGAAACCACGGCGATGAACAACCATCAAGAGCCTGAAACGATAGCTGTAATGAAATGGGTGAAATCAATACCATTTGTACTATCAGCTAATTTACACGGTGGATCGCTAGTAGCTAACTATCCGTGGGATAACAGTAAATCTGGTCATACTACCTATAGTAAATGTCCAGATGATGATATCTTTATTAAACTATGTAAAGCTTATTCTTTTGTAAGTGTTGTTTTTCTTATTTAAATTTAAAGGGACAGGTTCGCCATTTTCAAGAATTGATTTGGGTCTTGAGATATGTAAAACGTCTTCAGAAGTACTAGAAATATACTAAAATCACATAATTCCTTCAAACATACGTCAAACTAGGAATTTCTTTTCTATTTCTATATATGTCTTGACAGAGTCTCAAGAAGAGACAAGTTGTCATTCTAACTTTCAAACGTGGATAATTCTGAACACAAAGGCATTTGAAGGTTCAAATTTTGATGGTGAGCAGTGAACACTTTGACCGATTAGCTTAGCTAAAAATTTACGTTTCTGAGACTAAGGTATTATTGGTCAAACAGACAGTTGTGGCTCGGTGAATTAGATGTTAGCTCCTTATTCTGAGTGACTAAGTTTTAATCTTGGCATAGTTCCAGATATACTTATCAGATTATTCAACCCAGTTTTTCCATGTCAGTGATGTAGGTCAGAGAGACTGACATGGAAAACACGTCCAGTCTTTCAGACAGTTGGAAATGGAACAAGGAGTGTGATACTGTGACTGTCCTGGCAATATGATGATGTCCATTGTCATCAGCCCAATCAATCTTAACAATTTAGATGTAAAATAGCTTTATATTTTGTTGAAGCTGTAAATAAGTCGATATAATCTGCGAAAGATAAGATTTTTTTCTTTTCTTTTTTCACATGATCTATGATTTGATTTAAACAATTCATATTTTTACAGGCTCACTCTACTATGCATATTGGTCACCCATGTCCTGGTTTTAGTAGTGAATATTTTAAAGATGGTATAACTAATGGTGCACATTGGTATAGTGTTTCAGGTAAACTCTTTTGGTTTGTTCTATTATGACTGACTAAAGCAGGATTGTGTTCAACCATTAAAATTAAAGTGGGGAAATGTGAAAGCAGTTGGTCACTTCTTCACAATGTCAAGCTATTACCTTGACTGCAATAGCAACTAATCTTTATAACGAAATGCAGCGATTTGATTGGATTGTCCTTACCACATACAGCCGATCAGTGCCTTGGACAGAAAGACTGTAAACAATTTAGCTGCACGTGTAATCGATACATGATTGGTTGTATTTGGTAGTGTAAAATCCAATCAAATCGCTGCATTTACCAACTTCTGTGATACAAGAAGGATGGCTATTGTAGTCAAGGTATAAGATGCAGATCATAATTCCTTGACATTATGAAAAAGTATCGGTCATGATTTCAACTTTTCTATATGGTGACAGAGGTCAGAGGAACTGACATGGAAAAGGCATTACAAGATTTCATTTGGTTTCTTTTGACATTTTTCATTATGATATGAAAAAATATCTGAGCTCACTTGTTCAAAATTTTTTCATGAACTACTTTGTGTTTTAGGTGGAATGCAAGATTGGAACTATGTACATACTAATTGTTTTGAAATAACAATAGAATTGGGTTGTTATAAATATCCTAAAGCAACTGATTTACCAGCCTATTGGGATGCTAATAAATTTGCTTTATTGGTTTATATGGGACAGGTAAGTACATTTAACTCTTCATACTTAGTTTTTACAAACATCACAAACCAATAACAGGAAATTAAAAAATTGATTCTTTAAATCATATGAATAAAAAAAAACCAAGTACTAACAATCCAAACTACAAAATGATTTTATAGTTTTCTTTGAACCTATAACTATACCCAAGTCAAAATGTCTCATGGCTGTAGATGAGATGATCTAGCACCACCTCTCTCTGCATTTGCTATCGAGATTCTGCATCTTTTGATGAACTGCTCATTCCATTGTTTACTAAATGAGTTCTCTAATGTTATTTGCTGAGCCTTTAAACCCATAACATTTTGAACAAATTCATAAAATCTAGCGCAGCCTTTTGCTCTGCATTTATTCTATTTGATACTCTGCATATCTTAATGAACTGCTCATTCCATTATTTACTAAATGAGTTCTGTAATGTTATTTAAATGCCTTTAAACCCATAACTTATTTGAATAGATTCATGAAAACAAAATCCAGTGGATCTGTGTTACGTTATCTGTGATAATAACAGTTTTTATACGCCCACATCTCTCTATGTGAACGTATATTGTCGGCACCCGTATATATGGCTGTGGTCCACTATCTTTATAACATAATGTTAATTAACACTGAAATATAAACAATACAATTAATATATTTTAGGTACATAAAGGTATTCGAGGGTTTATTTTGGACAGTAAAACAGGATTAGGTATAGCTAATGCTAATATAAGTGTAAAAGGTATTAACCATGTTATAAGAAGTGCTAAAGATGGTGATTATTGGAGATTATTGGTTCCTGGGAGTCATCATATCACAGTATCACATCCTAGGTTAGATCAATTCAGTTTCTCTTCAGTCCAGACATCTCTTGCTCTAAAGATCTTTTTATTATTATTCTGATATTTCTCAATGTAAAATTTCACGCTTTTTGTAAGCTTTTTCGAAAAGGGGCTGGGGTCGGAAGTAGATATTTAACATGTAGCCCTAGAAAAATTTTTTTCTGGTTTTCTGATAGTTGAAGAAATGAAAGTATCAGTGAAAACTTAATGTGTGAGTCATTCTGCTGATATTTCTGATTATCCCTAAAAAAACAGTGGATCTTTGATCTTAATATTTTAAAATAAAGTATTTTTTTTTTTTTTGAGTATTTTAAAGAGTTTTTGTCTCAGTCATTATCGCAATATTTATAATAAACAGCTTCTTCAATAATAAGAACCACAGATATTTGATCACTTATTGTAATGGTGTAAATCGATGCTATCAGTGTTTAGAATACTTCCTTTCAATCTCTTTAAGGTATAGTGTCAAAAGGAAAGAATGTGTCCAGCATTTTGGAATGTAGTGATTTTTTTAATCAAATTTAAAATCAAATTTAGTTATTGTCCTATAGATGACTAAAACACTAAAAATGACTGAAAATGAATTTTTAGGAAGTGGCTGCAGTTGATTTGATTTATATTTTGTAGGTATGAGAGTCAGACTATAGTTGTAAGAGTAACAGACGGTCCGGCAGTTTTCATCAACTTTTCTCTATCATACGCTAAACAACATTCATGGTCGGCTCATTCTGATTTCGACATCCAAGAGAATATGGAGAGTGCTAACTACCAAACTCTTCATGATGCTGATGAGGAACGAAAGAAAATTGCCAATTTGAATCCAAGTTTTGTCACATATGAGCCATTGTTAGTCACCAGGAAAGGCTTGGCATTGTCCATGCTGCACATGTCTAAAAGTATGGAAGACCACACTGGACACAAAGCCCATGTTTTATTGGTTGGTGGAGTAAATGGAGATGATCCAGTAGGAAGTGAAATGTTGATGAGATTTTCTAGACATATAACTAAAGGTAAGATCCACATTGCTGTGGTTGCTAAGTGAGTTAGACCTAGAGATCCTGTCTTCAAACGTGGCATAAGTCGAAATAAAACCTTCCCTCTATCAGCGGTACAGAACAGACACTGACAAAGGTCCTAGGTGTCTAGGATTGGCCAATAAATCTAGCCACAAGCAACATGTATTAATGGCTGTTTGTCTCGTTAAAAGTCCACTTATATTATGGTACCGGTAGCAACCAAAGTTCCCAAGTTTCCAAATGTAAGGTTTTGCTCATCCTCTATCTGGTTCCAAACAAGGGGTATTAGCTTTCATGAAGGTACCAGTCAACAATCCACAAGGGGTACCGGTGAGAAGCCAATTTGATAATTGTCAAATACAACTCTCCATAGAAGTATTTTTATCTGATCATTGCATCACTTTTGGTAGGCAGAGAGCGTAGGGCCTACTGTGAGATTGTGTCAACAAGCAAAGGTACAAAAGTCCAAAGAAATTGAAAAAGAAGATTTAGATGAATTAGATGCATTATTAGTTAAACATAGTCAACATTCTTTTATAGGTTACAATCATCAACATCCAGATTGTGTCAAGATAATAGACAATGTACATTTACATATATTACCTACATTAAATATTGAAGGTATATCTAAAGCTACATTAGGTGATTGTACAGGAGATAGTTATACTGGAAACAAGTTTTCTTCACTTATTGAGAATAAGGTATGTATATTTTGATACAATTTGATATCTGACAATTCCTTTGTATTTTGTAAATACTGATGTCTGACATATTCTTTGATGTCAAAAAGTATTTGTTATGTTGGTTCTCTGAAAAATATTTGCAATCTGACTTGCATTTTGCCCTGATAATTATTAACTATCTGATACATATATCTATTGCTCTGAAAATTACTTGATATCTGACATGTTCTTTGTTGTGGAAAATTATCTGATATCTGACATATCCATTATTCTGAAAACTACTTGATATCTGACTGGGTCTTTGCTCTGAGAATTATTTGATATCTGACATTTTCATTATTCTCAAAACAACTTGATATCTGACTGGGTCTTTGCTAGAGAAATTATTTGATATCTAACTGGTTCTTTGCTGTTCAAAATTATATGATATCTGAAAAAAATATGCTTGTATTAGCTTTTTGATATCTGATAAATGTTTGCTTAATTACATAGGACCAGGTTGTGGAAGCTTTGATAAATCAAATTAATACCCACAAGTTTCATCTGATATTAAACGTAGAAGGTGGTGGACTTAATATACTGTAAGTCCATTTTCATATTTTTATGTGCCTCTGTTGATCATGTAGCAAGCCCAATTTGTTAAATTTTGTTGCTGATTTGGCTCTGTGGTATACAAGGGTGAGTCTTGTCTTGAAAAAGGTTTGTGTATTGATAGTTACTATTTGCCTTATTCAATTTTATATTTAATGTCCTTATTCTCATACATAGGTTCCTGTAAAGGAATATGTGCTTGAGCTGCTGAATTTCAGAATTAAAATCTGATATCAGATTCCCCTACAATTTAAAAAAAATTGTCAAAGTTATCTGTAATAACTAATGTATATGAAATTGTGAATAACACCTTTGTATTGATGATATTCTGAAAGTACAAGGTCTGTTTTTGTTGAATTATAAGGGAATATATAACCGATTTTAATTTTGAAAAGAGACAAGGATAGATTATTTATCTAGACGACCTTATATCTTTAAATTGAAGTTGAAATCTAGGATGTACTACTTCTAGTATCCCAAGAAATCAGAGAGAAAATGGAAGTCAGACAGTAATAACAGAAGATGATGAAATGTTTCAAGTACTGGCTAGATCATTTGGTGATTTCAATCCTAAGATGTATGATCAATCATCTTGTGAAGGGGCTGGTGTACATGGTATTCTTCATTCTGCTGAATCACCTCTACCTAATCATATTCTAATGGATATGATGTATGACAAATATCATTCTTATATGGTAAGTTATCAATGTAGTAAATCTATTGTTAAACCTCTTCACAATGTCTAGCTATTTCTTACTGTGTCTTATACCTCGACATCATTAGACACTATTCTTGTGTTTTTATGGAATGAAAATACCGTCTATTTCTTTTGTAAATAAAAACACAAGCTGAGGCAGATGAAAACTAGTTGTTGCACACAGAACCATTTTGATTACAGTTTTTCTGTCAAGGTCTCTGATTGGCTGTATTCACTAGCATACAATCCAATCAAATCTAACAATTCAATGATACAAGAAAAGTGACTATTGATGTCAAAGTATTAGATACAATTTGTAATACCTTGACATTATTGTATACTTATCTCATGTTTTTCTATGTCAAAGAGAAATGATGGCTCAATGTTATAAGGGCTTGCTTGCTTGCATCAAGGTTTGCTTTCTATGTAAGAGTGTAAGGTAGACATAGTCCCTTGTACCCAGTGCCCTGTCAGCAATGCAGTGGCTGAATGAGTATCCAGTCATATTAACCCAGCAGACTGGTCAAGATCCATTGACAGTTGGAAAACATAAAGGTAAATTCAGATGTTGCTGTAAGGACTTAATTCCTCTCATTGCATACTGCATGGTTTACATGTATTTATCAATCAATTATATGTGTTGTTAGATATTTTTGAAATATGCACATCAAGAAAAAAAAACCAAAGTTATTCCATGTAGAATTTTTTTGATATTTTGACATTCTGATACAAATACAGATCTAGATTTTCGTTTCATGTTTATTCTAAGGGTGACCTACTTGCCAATCCCTGATCTGACCCAAAAGCGTTCATAAAACCAGAAAATATGACTTGCATCCTGAATGTAGAAATATTTAGACATCATTCCAAGCATGGGCTTTATTCTATATATAAAAAAACCTGCACCTGCAACCAATATATATATATATAGATTATTTTAGAATGTATTATTATTTATATGTTAGAACAGTGCTTCTCAACCTCAGTGAGTTCTTCCAAATCTATTCCTCCCCAAAATAAATCAGTCATTTTGAAACGTATTTCACTCAAAAAATGTATTGAACAGTGGAAAATGGATATAAAATCATACTCTTCATATCGAAAGAGTTCAATGTGACCCATGTACCGAATGTTAGTTCACGATTTTCTGTATGACTAGAGTTAATTTCAGTCGTAGATCACCTGACTCAGTTATCTTAAATGAACTACGTTTCTTTGTGAGTACATCACTAACAACTCTGAAACCACATTCCACCAAATACATGGTAGGATATGGTAGCAGTAGATTCCTCCCCATTTCCCCACTGGCAATAATTCATCCCCATGGTCTTCCAATTTGTCCCTACGGTGAGAAGCACTGTGTTAGATGTATAATCAAACAAAGATATAGCTGTGAACATCCAGGAACACTTCAAAACATTATTAGAGCAATGCACTCTATTCTCAACAATGTATTTTAAGTAGTAATGAACACAATATAGATTTGGCTCGTATAGACTTAAATCAGATCAGATCTGTAGATTTCTCAACAGTATGAAACCATCCAATTGATATAAATACTACTACCAACTACTATGACTACCAACAACTACTTATTCTACAGCTACCTAGTCAGCAATATCAGCTTTAGCTGTAAGCATTAATCTACCAACCGACTAACCAAAACGGACTGCTCTTAATTTTGTTTTGTACTGGATTTTCACATATCTTTTTTTATATAATATACTGCATTATTGAGTTAGATTTTTGTGTTGATGTAGAGGTTTATTTGTATATTATTTAGTTATGTGCATCTATTAGTTGCTGTAAATACCCAGCTGCCAATGAATTACCCAATATATGGATGAATACCATGCCTTCATTTATGAATTTTTTGTTGAAAGCCACACAAGGTAGAGAAAAATGTCTTTTGTGTTTTTTTTATTTTGTATTTTGTATTTTGTATGAGTTTCTGGATTTATCTTTAATTTACCAAGTCTATATTTTTCCAAAAATTTATTACTATTTTTTGATAATTCATGCTATGTTTTAAACATGTATATTGACAGAGCTGAATATCAGCTACAAGTACCTGTATTATTTACAGAATGAAAATCTGAGATTCAGTTTGTCTGCAATAAAAAAAAACACATCAGTTGACATAATAACATTTTTATTTCAATATTTATGTTTGCATGGAAATTTTCAAAATGGCCTGGATATTTAATCTGTTTTTTCTTTAATTGCAGTTGTACATGATGTCTGATTTCATTCTGAAAAATGATATCGATACTTGAAAATTAGGAATAAATCACTTAAATACATTTGTGACTAACATACATGAGGGTTTTTAACTTGACGATATTTTTAACAAATTTAGTATATTTTTTAGGTATCCATGGTGAAATAGTAGATAGTAATAATAAACCTATATTTACTGCAGTACTAACAATTGATAATAAACTACATCGTTTTAATGTTAGTACCAATGGTAGTTATTTTATTGTACTAACAGAAGGTCATCATACTATAGAAGCAAGTGCTGAAGGTAGGCCAGAGACATCTTTTCGTTCTGATTTTTTAAAAATTATTTTTGATATTTTCTCTTTTGCAAAGAAAGCTGACAAGGAAACATTCAGAAAAAATCTTTCCTTTGAACTCAATTGCAGTGCTCACACACTTTTAGTCCCACCTTGGAAATCAACCCTTTCAACCCTAGTAATCGGGAGCCGCTGTGGCTCAGTGAGTTAGATGCTTGCTTGCTAAACTGAAGTTCAATCGCGGCATAGGTTGAGATAATAACTTCGGATTTTTCAACCCATTTCCCCCTGTCAGTGATGCAGGTCAGAGGGACTGACATTGAAAAGTCGTCTAGTCGTTAAAAAATAAACCGAGGCCCTGTGTGCTACAGGCTGTGCATTTTAAAATGTTTTATTTCATTTACACTCAGTGTTCAAAGGGTTAAGTTCCAAAAACTTTCTGTCATGTTGAGGACTTTATTGCCAGACACAGGTTGGCAGCATGAGATGAGACTATGTTAGGTTTAGAGTCATGATTTAATTTATTTCTACAGGCTACCAGTCTCTGTCTAAGAAGATATTTGTATTAAAGAATGAGAGAAGAGAAGTTAGATTTATGTTAAAAGATGAAAAAGAGAAGCTATCATATCACAGTTTTAATGCTTTAAAATTAAACTTGACTGAAATATCTAAACAGTATTCCAACATTACACAACTAACAAAGTAAGTTTTTCTTATCTATTCATACATTATCTTCTCTTGGCATTATCATATTATCCTCTCTTGGCATTATCATATTATGCTCTCTCGGGATTTTCATATTATGCTCTCTTGGCATTATCATATTATCCTCTCTTGGCATTATCATATTATGCTCTCTTGGCATTATCATATTATGCTCTCTTGGCTTTATCATATTATGCTCTCTTGGCATTATCATATTATTGTCTCCTGGCATTATCATATTATCATCTCTTGGCATAATCATATTATCATCTCTTGGCATAATCATATTACCCTCTCTTGGCATTATCATATGCTCTCTTGGCATAATCATATTATGCTCTCTTGGCATTATCATATTATTGTCTACTGGCATTATCATATTATCATCTCTTGGCATTATCATATTATGCTCTCTTGGCATTATCATATTATTGTCTCCTGACATTATCATATTATCATCTCTTGGCATAATCATATTATCCTCTCTTGGCACTATCATATTATCATCTTTTGGCATTATCATATCGTCGTTGCGCTTCAATAACCTCGTATCTCAGAATTTATAGGTTTTCAGGAGAAGAAAAAAACTGGTTTTTTTTGTCAGTTTTTATCTTATTGATCCCATATTTGACACATCGACAACGAAAAGAAATGCATATTTGCTGAATTTAGTTCCATGGAATTGAAAAAACAATAGGAATCATGATACGAGATACGATGTTTAGTCATATTAGTTGAATCGAGATACGATATATTTCTCTACATACGATTATTCAACACCCAACATAAAGCTGATTTTAGGGAGATACGATATTTTATCAACACCACCATTACTACAAAATGAACTTATTAAGTTAGGAAATGAAAATAGTGACTGGTTGAAGATGTCCACAATCGGGATAAAATGGATATTAGTTGAAATCGTAGTTTTATACGATGGTGACAATTTTATATCTTCTCTAATGAAACCCCACTTGGAACATGCAGGGAATGCCAACACCTAATGTCACACTGCGATTGAGTTTTTCAGCTCGGCATGCATTTCGAAGAGTAAACATAGATATGTTTTGTTTTAATTATATCAACAGTAATAACTTTATTTAGCACAATATGAAACCAATGAAAACTGAAATTGGATTGTTTCAACAATATCACTCGTGGGGGAGATTATCATAAAAGTAATGGTAATCGTTGGGTATTACGGGTTTCAAATCTTGCAAATGATCAAATTTCTTCCTCTTGATCGGAATAGCAGAATTGTGGAGAATTAGTGGGTCATCTGACGGATCTGGATCCTTCTGTTTTGATCGACGGGGCAAATCATTTAAATCATCCGAGTAGCTGTTCTTATATGAATATTCGAGTACTCGCAAATTTGTTACCACGGGATCACCAACCTTGATTCCTGGACGAATTGAACTATAATATCCAAGAGATGAATAATCTTTGAAGAAGGCATAATTTACAACTTCTACTCTATAAGCAAAAGGTTTCACCCTAGCCTCGCGTATCTTGTCAACATAGTTTTGTGGCACATAAATGGGCTTCTTGCCAACGGTTCTCTCGATCACAGCGTGTATAGAATCACATTCCATTTGAGTGTGACCACGTTCTAAATACTTCTGAGTTATTTTGATTCCGTATTTATTAGATAGCAACAACAACATATTCGCCATTACAATATTTCTGTTCTGATATGTGCAACCATCTGAATAAATAATTATCTCCTTAACTGAGTCGTTTATTCTGTTTTGTAGGTAATGATCCACACATGA